CCCGGACTACAGGTGCTGCTGGCGACACGACGGCAACCTCCGTTCAACCTCCCCCAAACAGTACCACCCCCCCTGACACACACCCCCTGCTTCACCCCTAGCTCCACTCCCCCTTCACCCTCCCTTAGTACCACTCCGACGGCTCCAACAGGTCCACCCCCCCTCAGCGGCAGCTGCAGCACAGGGAGACGGAGGAGGAGGAGGAGCAGGGAACGGCACACAGAAGCTGCACCCCCATACCCCCCACCCCCAAACCCTAATCCAGGAGAACGGGCAGAAGGAGGGGTGGGGCGCCTTCAGAAGCACGGGGGACAGCGGGGAGGACAGGGGCAGCGAAGAACGGGCCGCCCACGGGCCTGGCACAGCCTCCCGAACCGCGCGCAGGCGGCCCGAGCCGCGCGCGGGCCTGGCGCAGCCCGTACGGGCCGCGCGCCGGCTGTACGGGCCGCGCGCAGGCCACGACGGGCGACGGGGGGCGACGCGCGGGTCCCCGTCGCCCGTCGTAGCGCCTCCTGGGGGCGACGCGCCGAGTGACGGGGCAGAAACCCGTCGCGCGCCTCGGGGCGCACGGCGGGCAGAAAACCGCCGCGCGCCTCGGGGCGCACGTCGGGCAGAAAACCGCCGCGCGCCTCGGGGCGCACGGCGGGCTGAAAAACCCTAATTTCGACGCCGCGCACCACGGGGCGCGCGGCGGACAGGGAGTAGCAGTAGCAGCGGAAGCAGTGAGGTGGGGCCCACAGGCCAGGAGCATATCGCTCTAATACCATGTGAAAGTAAGCAGTAGAAGAAGGCGCCATAGCTAGGAAAGCCCTAGCTAGGCAAGAAACAGTTTAGGCAAAGAAGGAGAAGTTGCACTAGCAAGAATGAGGATACAAATAGCAAACCCTAGAAGGGTTGTACTCGCTATAGAGCACCCCACTACAGGCTAGAGCATAATATTCTGACAGTTGCTTCCGCTGCAACTTCCACTGCTACCCTCTGTGCCGCACGCCCCGTGGCGTGCGGCAGTTTGTCTTCCCGCCGTGCGCCCCGAGGCGCGCGGCGGTTTTCTGCCCGCCGTGCGCCCCGTGGCGCGCGGCGGTTCTCTGCCCGCTGTGCGCCCCGAGGCGCGCGGCGGGCTTCTGCCCCGTCACTCGGCGCGTCGCCCTCGGGAGGCGCTGCGACGGGCGACGGGGACCCGCGCGTCGCCCCCCGTCGCCCGTCGTGGCCTGCGCGCGGCCCGTACAGGCTGCGCGCGGCCCGTAAGGGCTGCGCCAGGCCCGGACGCGGCCCGTACGGGCTGCGCCAGGCCAGCGCGCGGCCCGTACGGGCTGCGCCAGGCCCGCGCGCGGCCCTTACGGGCTGCGCCAGGCCTGCGCGCGGCTCGGGCCGCCTGCGCGCGGTTCGGGCGGCTGTGCCAGGCCCGTGGGCGGCCCTTTCCTCGCTGCCCCTGCCCTCCCCGCTGTCCCCCGTGCTTCTACTGGCGCCCCACCCCTCCTACAGCCCGTTCTCCTGAATTAGGGTTTGGGGGTGAGGGGTATGGGGGTGAAGCCACTGTGTGCCGTTCCCTGCTCCTCCTCCTCCTCCGTCTCCCTGTGCTGCAGCTGCCGCTGAGGGGGGGTGGACTTGTTGGAGCCGTTGGAGTGGTACTAAGGGGGGGTGAAGGGGGAGTGGAGCTAGCGGTGTAGCAGCGGGTGTGTGTCAGGGGGAGTGGGATAGTTTGGGGAGGTTGAAGGGGGTGGCCGCCGTGAAGCCAGCAGCTCCAGTCGCCCGTGAGACCGTTGCGCCAGTCGCCCGTGAGCCCGTTGCGCCAGTCGCCCGTGAGCCCGTTGCTCCAGTCGCCCGTGAGTCCGTTGCTCGTCTGCCGCTACTTTTAGCCGCGGAGCCAGTTACTCCAGTAGCCCGTGTGCCAGTTGCTCCAGTTTCCAGTGTGCCAGTTGCTCCAGTTGCCCATGTGCCAGTTGCTCCAGTTGCACCGTGTGCCAGCAGCTTCAGCTGCCGCCCACTACCTCCTCTCCTCTCATAGTCTCTTTCCTCCTCCTCACTTGCCCGTTGTGACTACCACTAGCTTTGCTCATAATTGTGAACTTTAAACTATTGCTTCTTGAACTTGTGCTCAGAATGTGTGGTGACATTGTGATCCACCCTGAGCTTGTACTGCTTTGCTTGCTCTGCTGATTACACCCCACTTTGGCTATGGGGGTGTGTCAGAATATTATGCTCTAGCCTGTAGTGGGGTGCTCTATAGCGAGTACAACCCTTCTAGGGTTTGCTATTTGTATCCTCATTCTTGCTAGTGCAACTCTCATTTTCTTCTTCCTTTCAACTTTCTCAACCAGTTCCTATGGCAAGGTATTTGAGTGAACTAACTGAATGTGTGAAGAAATTGTGCTAAAAAATACAACTACATGATGAAACTGTGACATGTTGCGTACTGGCATATCCTCGCGCAGTTTCAGGCCAGCAAGTGCACAAACAAGCGCCACGTGCTGCCAGTTGTGTGAACGAGGTCAAACCAGTTCCTATGGCTAGGAAATAGGATGTAATAAGGAACTGTGCGAAGAAATAGAGGTAAAAACAACACCCAGACGTTGAAACACTGACATGTTGCGCACAGGCCTATCCTTGCACAGTTTCAGGCCAGCAAGTGCACAAACAAGCGCCACGTGCTGCGTATTTGTGCGAACGAGGTCAAACCAGTTCCTATCGCTAGGAAATAGGATGTACTAAGGAACTGTGTGAAGAAATAGAGGTAAAAACAACACCCAGACGTTGAAACACTAACATGTTGCGCACAGGCCTATCCCTGCACAATTTCAGGCCAGCAAATGCACAAACAAGCGCCACGTGCTGCGTATTTGTGCGAACGAGGTCAAACCAGTTCCTATCGCTAGAAAATAGGATGTAATAGGGAACTGTGCGAAGAAACAGAGGTAAAAACAACACCCAGACGTTGAAACAGTGACATGTTGCGCACAGGCCTATCCCTGCACAATTTCAGGCCAGCAAATGCACAAACAAGCGCCACGTGCTGCGTATTTGTGCGAACGAGGTCAAACCAGTTCATATGGCTAGGAATTAGGATGTACTAGAGAACTGTGTGAAAAAATAGAGGTAAAAACAACACCTAGACGTTGAAACAGTAGCATGTTGCGTACAGGCCCATCCTTGCACAGATTCAGGCCAGCAAACGCACGAACATGCGCCACGTGCTGCGTAGTTTTGCGAACGAGCCCCAATCAGTTCCTATGGAAAGGTATTAGGATGTACTAGGGAACAGTGTGAAGAAATAGTGGTAAAAAAAACGTTTAGACGTTGGCGCAGTGACATGTTGCGCAGGCGCCTATCCTTGCACAGATTCAGGCCAGCAAACGCACAAACATGCGCCACGTGCTGCGTAGTTGTGCGAACGAGGTCAAACCAGTTCCTATGGCTAGGGAATAGGATGTAGTAGGGAAGAGTGTGAAGAAATAGTGCTAAAAAAGGCATTTAGACGTTGGCGAGCTAACATTTTGCGCACTGGCCTATCCTTGCACAGATTCAGGCCAGCAAACGCACAAACATGCGCCACGTGCTGCATAGTTGTGCGAACGAGGTCAAACCAGTTCCTATGGCTAGGGAATAGGATGTAGTAGGGAAAAATGTGAAGAAATAGTGTTAAAAAAGGCATACAGACGTTGGCGAGCTGACACGTTGCGCACAGGCCTATCCTTGCACAGATTCAAGCCAGCAAAAACACAAACATGCGCTACGTGCTGCATAGTTGTGCGAACGAGGTCAAACCAGTTCCTATGGCTAGAAAATAGGATGTAGTAGAGAATTCTGTGAAGAAATAGTGCTAAAAAAGGCATCCAGACGTTGGCGAGCTGACATGTTGCGCATGCGCCTATCCTTGCACAGATTCAGGCCAGCAAACGCACAGACATCCGCCACGTGCTGCGTAGTTGTGCGAACGAGGTCAAACCAGTTCCTATGGCTAGGGAATAGGATGTAGTAGGGATAAGTGTGAAGAAATAGTGCTAAAAAAGGCATCCAGACATTGGCGAGCTGACATGTTGCGCACAGGCCTATCCTTGCACAGATTCAAGCCAGCAAACGCACAAACATGCGCTACGTGCTGTGTAGTTGTGCGAACGAGGTCAAACCAGTTCCTATGGCTAGGGAATAGGATGTAGTAGGGATCAGTGTGAAGAAATAGTGCTAAAAAAAGCATCCTGACGTTCGCGAGCTGACATGTTGCGCACAGGCCTATCCTTGCACATATTCAGGTCAGCAAACGCACAAACAAACGGCACGTGTTGCGTAGTTGTGCGAATTAACTCAAACCAGTTCCTATGGCAAGGTAATTGATTGAACTACCTGAATGTGTGAAGAAATGGTGCTAAAAAAATAAACCAAACGACGAAACGGTGACATGTTGCGTACTGGCCCATCCTTCATCAGTTTCGGGCCATCGAACGTTGCGATGTATATTCAGAGGTAACATGCATACGATAATTATTTGATACTACCCTAGCAAATAGTAGGGTGATTGTGAGTGTTTGAAGGGATTAGCAACAATACTTTCACATACATTTACGAATCTAAACAGAAGTAAATATGTATTCAACAGTTTCAGTTCTAACAGTCGATTCGAATCATATCGCGAATCTAAAATCACGCGCCATGAGATGACGTGGCAAACGAAAATCGTGACCACGGGAAGACCTTCACAGTTATCCACAGCATTCCGCAGCATTCCGCAGCTCTCTACCCGAGCGAGCCGCCCCGTCAGGCAACGTCAGGTTCCTGCCAGTAAACTGCCAAGTTCTTCCAGCCTCAAACCTGCCCATTTCCCCTGAAATTCGCGATCCCAGACAATCACGGAAATCACCCACAACAGACAAAAACCGCCAGTTTACCCCCGCGTCCTAAGTCACAACCCTTCCCTCACAGTAAACGGCCAATTACAGGGCGCTCGACAACCCAAAAAAAAAGCTAAGTACTCGTCCCCCGGTTTTCGGCAGAACGACATTTTTCTGATGGTGTATGTGGAGATTGGCGGGCAGATGACGATCAACGGGCAACCATTCCTACCTTTCAAGGGCACCCGCTGTGCAAACAATCTGGACACTTCGGGTGTGGTGAAGCCGCAGGTGCAGGTGTCGTGGCAGCCTGGCACCGATGCAAGCAAGGCTGCTTGCCGCGCATTCGACTTCTTCCAGGATTCAAACTGCAACGGACAGCTGCTGGGCAGTTTCCCGGACGGCAAGTCGCGGTGCGCTTTCCATTCTCGCTCGCCTTTCTTCCATGCTCCACCTGCTCTCCTCTGCTCTTGAACGCAGCTCGGTTGTTTTCCCACCTGACGAACGACCCGTGCGCTCGTGTCGTGCCCCCTCCCCCCTCTCTTGTGCGCAGCACCATGACTCTCCCCGGTACAGTGAAGTCCGCCCGCTGCATCATTGGTGCGTCCTCTCTTGCCTTGCCCCGCCCGCCTCTCCACCTTTCCTCTCTTCGCAAAGTCCTTCCCTGTCTCTCCCTCTCTCTCGCTACACTCTCGCCTGCACAGCCCGGTTTGCTGCGCTGCACTCTGCTGAGCGGGTGGGCGGCGTGCCTCATCTCTGCTTTCCCTCCCCCCCCCCATCTTCTCTCGCTGTGCTGTGCTGCAGACGACCTGTGCCCGTATGTGAGCTGCCCGCCCTGGTCCAAGTGCATCAGAACCACCGACGACAGCGCGTATGCAAGGTGCCAGTGCGTCAAAGGCTTCGTCGCTCGCAACGGACAATGCGTGCGGTAGGTAAGCTTCGTGTCGATTTTGCTCACCAAGGTCTCGTCTCGTCGCCGCAACCCTCTCCTCCTTCTCCGCGCTCCCTCTCTCTCTCTCTCTCTCTCTCTCTCTCTCTCTCTCTCTCTCTCTCTCTCTCTCTCTCTCTCTCTCTCTCTCTCTCTCTCTCTCCCTCTCTCCCAACGCTTGCTTGTCGGGATGCACACACGCGCTCACCGGCCCACTCTCGCTCCTTGTCTGTGCTGCAGTGACCACAGGACCTGCCACCACGTCACCTTTCAGAGCAGAAGGTTGGCACAGACGATTCGAAGGACTTTGAGCAAGACGGCTGGTGGTGGGCGGTTCTCAAGGAAAGGTTGTGGAGCAGGTGCCAAAATTCCAAGGATTGAAGTATCCAAACAAGCTGAACACCTACATGTACCACCAGCACATCTTATCATCAGATTAGTTTCAGACCCTCCCTGTCCGAACTGGTCCCTTCCGGTATTTGCGCCCTTTCCCAATCCCCTCCCCACTCCTCTCCCCTTCCTTCCCACCCCCACCCTCCCTCTTTACCCACCCCTGCTCCCACTCCCTTTGTTTGTAGCCTTTGTTGTATAATATAGTTTGATATAGGAAGCATTGAGCAAGTTTTTTACCAAAACAATGGCAATCGGTAGTAGAATGAGGGTTAGTCTAAATGGACGAAAGCAGGCCCTAACTAACACATGGACGAAAGGGTGTTAGTTTCTTTAAAGGGCCCTAACTACAGAGTGATTCTAGGTACGGTACCGTACCGGTACCGGTATGTGTTGCTCCATAACCACTTATAGGATAATAGTCAATGAGACGTAGTTGCCAATATTCTAGGCCTTCACTATCATAAATCCGTGTAATCCCGCGTGGCATGGGTAAGAAGTGTTTCTGTTATTTGACCTTTAACGCATAATTTGTGTACCAAACTGGAAAACCAAACTCTAAGAAAGTGTTTCTGAGAGCGAGTCCAGACCAGACTTCTAGGCGCAAGCCGTTTTGCCTTCCCGACGCGTCGCGATGCTTTCCGGGGCGCCCGCAGCAACGGACAGCGCGATTCCGGTGGTGGACTTGTCGGCGGGAGAGGCGGCGTGCGCCGCCGCCGTGGATAAGGTGGGGGGCACTTGGTGGCGTGCGGAAGCAAACTGAGAGCTGGGGGACGGGGAAGGTCCCGGTGGGGGACGGGGGGAGAAGCTGCGCGGGGAAATCCCGCTGATGCCACGCGGATATCGCGCTGAGAGCCGCGTCGTAGCAGCGCGGCGCGGCGGCCTGCGATTGCGGCGCTCAGATGCGGCCGCGTGGACCGCGCGGTGGTAGCTCGGACGCGCTGCGAGGACGAAGCGGCGCGATATTGATGTCCGCACGGTGCGATGCGCGCGTTGCCTCGCCGCACGGCAGTGAATGGGGCGCGAGCCCGCATCGTTGTTTCGGATAGTTGAAGAAATACCACTGTCGCTGCGCTGCCCTCTCCCTGCGCCCTCTGTTCTGCACCTTCCCTCTGCGCCCGCCCTCCTGCCCTCTCTTCCCCCCCGCCCCTCCAGGCATGCCGTGAGGTCGGCTTCTTCCTGCTGGCCAATCACGGCGTGCCACGTCAGCTCATGGCCGACGCCTTCCACCAGACGAGGCTGCTCTTCGGCCTGCCCGCTGAAGCCAAGGCGGCTGTGCGCCAGGTGGGGGGCTGTGCGCCAGGTGGGGGGCTGTGCGCCAGGTGGGGGGCTGTGCGCCAGGTTTGCATAGCATGTTTCGTGGCATGGGCATAGCCAAGATGGGGAAATTGGTGGGCTAGTGGGCAGAAAGCAGGGGAACTGGGGGGAAAGGAGCGTAGCAATGGGTATATGCATGGACAGCACCAGCCACCCTTGTTGCTCTGCTGTGGCCTCTCGTTCCGTCTTCCTCGCTCCCTCGTTGCCCTTTCAACTCTCTCTCCCTCCCAATCATTCCTGTTGCCGTCCCCTTCCCACGTCCTTGTATCTTTCGCTCTCCCCTCGTCCTCTCCTCACTCCTGCCCATCTCTCGTCCCACCTTGTCAGACTCGGCACGTTCTCAATCCATTTTGTTCCCGCCCGCCTCCCTCTCCCATCAATTTTGTTTCCCCCCTCAACCCCCCTAGCCCCGAACCCCTCACTCCTCAACCCCTCACTCCTCAACCCCTCAACCCTCAACCCCTCACCCCTTTCTCAATGTCTTTCGCCTATGACCTGCCCTCCCCCCGTCCACCCCATCCCCACGTAGACATTCCGTTTTGTCTCCTCTCCCTCCCCTCCGTCCAACCCCCCTCCCCTGAATCATCCCCTTCCGTTCCCCTCTTTCCCCGACTCCCCCCCCTCCCGTCCCTTCCTCAACCCCCCCCTCCCCACCCCTTCCCCCCCTCAGGACAGCAACAACCGCGGGTACACGGCGTTTGAGGAGGAGGTATTGGACCCGGCAGGCAGTGCAGGGGCAACGAGGGGACACCAAGGAGGGCTACTACGTGGGGCCCCTGCCCCTCCTTTGTCCTCTTTCCACCCTCCCTTCAATCAACCCTGCCCAGTTCCCCCCTCCCATACCCTTGTCTCCATTCCCCCCCCCACCCCCTCAGGACAGCAACAACCGCGGGTACACGGCGTTCGAGGAGGAGGTATTGGACCCGGCGGTGCAGAGGCAGCGCGGGGACACCAAGGAGGGCTACTACGTGGGCGTGGACATTCCCCCGCACGACCCCCGTGCTGCCAAGCCCCTGCACGGCCCCAACGTCTGGCCGCCCGCCGGTATGCGCATGTGTGGGTGGTGTTTTTTAGGCAGGGCAGCACCTGCAGCAGCACCTGCAGCAGCACCTGCAGCAGCACCTGCAGCAGCACCTGCAGCAGCACCTGCAGTAGCACCTGCAGCAGCACCTGCAGCAGCACCTGCAGCAGCACCTGCAGCAGCACCTGCAGCAGCACCTGCAGCAGCACCTGCAGTAGCACCTGCAGCAGCACCTGCAGTAGCACCTGCAGCAGCACCTGCAGCAGCACCTGCAGTAGCACCTGCAGCAGCACCTGCAGTAGCACCTGCAGCAGCACCTGCAGCAGCACCTGCAGTAGCACCTGCAGCAGCACCTGCAGTAGCACCTGCAGTAGCACCTGCAGTAGCACCTGCAGTAGCACCTGCAGTAGCACCTGCAGTAGCACCTGCAGTAGCACCTGCAGTAGCACCTGCAGTAGCACCTGCAGCAGCACCTGCAGTAGCACCTGCAGCAGCACCTGCAGTAGCACCTGCAGTAGCACCTGCAGTAGCACCTGCAGCAGCACCTGCAGTAGCACCTGCAGTAGCACCTGCAGTAGCACCTGCAGTAGCACCTGCAGTAGCACCTGCAGTAGCACCTGCAGTAGCACCTGCAGTAGCACCTGCAGTAGCACCTGCAGTAGCACCTGCAGTAGCACCTGGGGCGACACCAGGGAGACCAGTGGTAGGCTGGTGGGGTCTCTGGCACCCCGCTGGGCTGGGCTGTGCCCCTCGCCTCGCCTTACCTCGCCTCGCCTTACCTCGCCTCGTCTCACCTCAGCGCTCTCTGCTCCTAATCCACCACCCTCTCTCCTCTCCCTATCCGTTTCCTCTCCTTCCTTGCCTTCCTCTCGTTTTCTCCTTCTCTTCCACCCACCCACCCCTCCAAACCACCCTTGCTCCCCCACACCCCACCAGACCTCCTCGCCTTCCGTCCCACCATAACTGCCTACTTCGCCGCCTGCCTCTATCTCACTGCTCAAACATATCCTCCCCTTCCTCCTCTCCTCCACCCGCTCTCCATCATCTGTTGTCTGTTTGCCCTCCTTTCCTTTCTCCACCCCTCCATTCCTATCCCCACACCCCACCAGACCTCCTCCCCGCCTTCCGTCCCACCATAACTGCCTACTTCTCCGCCTGCCTCTCTCTCGCCCGCCGCCTCCTCCCCATCCTCGCGCTCGCGCTCGGGCAGCCGCGGGACTTTTTCAATCTGCCCGGAAGATTCGACGACCCAATAGTGCTGCTGCGGCTGCTGCACTACTCGGGCGAGGCGTCTCGGCCCCAGGAGGGCGTGCTGGGCGCGGGCGCTCACACAGACTATGGCATGCTCACCCTGCTTCTCGTGTCGCACCCTGGCCTGGAGGTGGGGGGATGCATGGGGAGGGGGAGGAGAGAAGCGTGGTTGGGGAAGGGGGGGAGGAGGGAGGGTTGGATGGGGAAGGGGTGTGGAGGGAGATGGGAAGTTGGACAGGAGGGAGGTAAGGCGGGAAGGATGGGTCGTGCGTTTACACCTTGTACACCATTCTGTTGCATACAACGAGGGAGAGGGTCACAGGAGGGCGTGCTGGGGGCGGGCGCTCACACAGACTATGGCATGCTCACCCTGCTGCTCGTGTCGCACCCTGGCCTGGAGGTGGGTGGATGAGGGGTGAATGGGGAATGGGGGGTGGGGAGGGAGGTGGGGAGTTGGACGGGAGGGGAGGGAAGGCGAGAACGAAGGTTCATGCCTTTACTTGTGGCCTGGGGATGGAAAACGGGGTATGGGAAGTGACGGGGGGGTTGGATGGGGAGGGGGTGATAGGAGCAGAGCAGACGAGAACAGCAGCGGAGAGCGCTAGCTAGGGAGGATGGGAGAGGGTGGATGGGGAAGGGTGGAGGAGGAGGAGGAGGAGGATGGAGTAGCGGGGATGGGGTTGGGTGCACACTCACTCTGCTGCTCGTGTTGCACCAGACTGAAGATGCCAGGGAGGGGTGGTGTAGGCTAGGGATGGATGAGAGACAAGGTACACCACTCGTGAGTGGACGAGGAATATGCAGCAGGGAGGATCGACTCTGCCACTCGTGTCATGTTGTTTACTAGATGATGGGTGCTGGGAGGGCGGCGGCAGCAAGACAGGGAGAGAGGAGGGAAAGGGGGCTGTCTATTACATTCTACACCCCTTTTTTAGGTACAAAACAATCAGCCACGTCTGCCTGTGTTTCTGTTTTCAACCTCTGTCTTCTCCCCGTTCCTCCCTGCCACCCACCCGCTCCTCACCTGCTCCCCACTCCCCTGGCTGTCCCCGTCACTCCAGATCTGTGTGGATCGCAGCAGCACGCCCCAGCGGTGGGTGCGGGTGCCAGTGGTACCAGGCACGTACATTGTGAACATAGGCGACATGCTGGAGCGGTGGAGCAACGCCTCCTGGCGCTCCACCCTGCACCGCGTGCTCGTGCTGCCCGAAGGGGAGGAAGGGGAGGGGAAGGATGGTGGCAGCGGTGCTTGTGGGGTTGAGGGCCATGCCGCTGGTAGTGCGGCCGCAAGCATTGGTACTGCTGGTGACACTGGCGACACTGGTGGCAGTGGCGTGGGGCAGGGAGGCAGTGAGGTGTTGGCAGCGGGGAGGGTGTCGCTGCCGTTCTTCTTCGAGCCCAACTTTGACTGCCTTGTGGACTGCGTGCCCTCTCGAGTCAACAACGCCAACCCTGCACGGTACGGCACGGTGTCGGTCGCCACGGACTTATGCTGCAATGTAGATATGCTGCACATATGCTCACGCCGCTCCCTCCTTTCTTGGTACCTTGTGGCTGCTCCTGACACACATTGCAACTTGCGTGTGTCTCTCTGCATGCCCACCCCTCCCCTCCTCTCCCTCCTCTCAATCGTCTCCCTCCTCTCACTCGTGTGCCTCTTTCTCCTCCCCTCCTCTCCCTCCTCTCATGTCCCTCTCCATCCTCCCACGCCCCGCACCCCTCTCACTCGCTTCTGCCTACCTCTCCCCCACGTCACTCCAGGTTTCCCCCCACCACGAGCGGGCACTACCTGCTATCACGCTACCAGGCCACCCACAAGGACCTTCATGCCTCGCTCAAATAACCCGCGCACAGCCGTGTACATACAGCATCTTCGCACATATTCCGTTGTCCAAGCATGTGCCGTCCTCCCACTCACTCACCATCACTCATGGCATGACATGTCACATGACATGACTGCCCGCTCTTTCCTCCACTACTCTCCTCTGCCTGCTTGTGCTGGGGTCTGGCACTGGCACACACGCACACACACACCATGTACAGTTGGTTCACTCCGTTACGATACAGCATTACATAGCGGTCCAATGGGGTACATGACAGCGGCGCGTTAGCATAACTGAAGTGCACCGCCTTCATCTTTTGTGGTCTGTTACAACACAATACATGCATGCCGTGTGTGATGCCATCCAGACACCATGTCGTTACAACACATTACACCACATCAACTGGGTAAACAAAATGTGTCACATCAATTCAAGTTCACCTCCAAAGGGGCAACAGGTGGTAGAGTAGAGAGTGTAATGCTCGCAATAGTATAATTTCAACTGGACTCGCCTACCCTGTTCCCATACCTCCCCCCCCCATGGCTATCCAAATTCTACGACTGCTCCTGCATGCACAAACCTGAGTCAAAACAGCAGTCAGGCTGCTCCTACAACAATCCCCAGAACAAAAAGTGTATTTCCGGCAAAACCGCATAGCAGCAAACATGCTTCATCACATCTCTCCTATGATTCATGAGCTTACGCGACCGCCACCTGCATATTAAGGTGCACACCTGGGGCCACGACCCGCTCACCCCTTATACTTTTGACTCTCTTAACTCTCTTGTCAGACCAACCCGCAGCCGCACCTAACCCAGCCCTTAGTCTTGCTTCGAGTAACACACACATACAGTACCACACATACGTACTGGACTGGAGCAGACACAGGTCACTGAATGAACCTGTATCACGTGAGCGGCCTGTCTCACTATGTCAGTCTTTCTACACTGGTGACTATACCTATAGGCCATGCCCCCACCCACCCACCCACGCACTCTTAATAACCACCCGATCCTACGCATCCCCCTCCCCTCCTCACCCCCTCTTCATTCCTCAACCCCTCTCCCACCCACCTCTCTTACCCTCCACTCACCCCATCCCCGTCCTCCTCCCATCCCCCTCCTCACTTCACCTTCTTCCCTTCCGTGCTCTCCTCCTCCCCCTCCACCACCTTGGCCTTCCCTTTCACCCTCCGCCGCTCCTCCTCATACTGCTCAGGCGAGTGCAGGGTCCCGAACAGCCAGTCAAAGAGCACGGTGTAGTGCCCGTAGTTGTGCCGGTAGGTCGTGTGGTGAATCGTGTGGTACTTGGCGCCCATGATAAAGAGCACGTTGCCGTGCAGGTTGTCGTGTATGTTGGTGGTCCAGATGCCCTCCGCGAAGAGCAGGAGGAGGTGTGTGGTGAAGTGGGTGGGGATGAGGAAGAGGGAGAATACGTGTGGGAGGGCCTGGATGATGCCGTCTAGAGGATGGAACGCCAGACCTGGGGGGGGAAAGAGGGGGCGGGGAGGAAGTGAGACGAGGGAGGGTGGGTTATCAAGGTGACTCATGAGTCGACTCATACTTGGATTGGCGCCCATGATGAAGAGCACGTTGCCATGCAGGTTGTCGTGGATGTTGGTGGTCCAGATGTTTTTTGTGAAGAGCAGGAACAGGTGCGTGGTGAAGTGGGTGGGGATGAGGAAGAGGGAGAATACGTGTGGGAGGGCCTGGATGATGCCGTCTAGCGGATGGAACGCCAGACCTGAAGGGGGTGAGAGGAGGGAGGGTAAGTTGTAGGGAGAGGGAGGAGGGGGGGAGGGGAGAGGGGATGGAGATGAGAGACAGGGAGAGGGAGGAGGGGGGGAGGGGAGAGGGGATGGAGATGAGAGACAGGGAGAGGGAGGAGGGGGGGGAGGGGAGAGGGGATGGAGATGAGAGACAGGGAGAGGGAGGAGGGGGGGAGGGGAGAGGGGATGGAGATGAGAGACAGGGAGAGGGAGGAGGGGGGGAGGGGAGAGGGGATGGAGATGAGATACAGGGAGAGGGAGGAGGGGGGGAGGGGAGAGGGGATGGAGATGAGAGACAGGGAGAGGGAGGAGGGGGGGAGGGGAGAGGGGATGGAGATGAGAGACAGGGAGAGGGAGGAGGGGGGGAGGGGAGAGGGGATGGAGATGAGAGACAGGGAGAGGGAGGAGGGGGGGAGGGGAGAGGGGATGGAGATGAGATACAGGGAGAGGGAGGAGGGGGGGAGGGGAGAGGGGATGGAGATGAGATACAGGGAGAGGGAGGAGGGGGGGAGGGGAGAGGGGATGGAGATGAGAGACAGGGAGAGGGAGGAGGGGGGGAGGGGAGAGGGGATGGAGATGAGAGACAGGGAGAGGGAGGAGGGGGGGAGGGGAGAGGGGATGGAGATGAGAGACAGGGAGAGGGACGAGGGGGGGAGGGGAGAGGGGATGGAGATGAGAGACAGGGAGAGGGAGGAGGGGGGGAGGGGAGAGGGGATGGAGATGAGAGACAGGGAGAGGGAGGAGGGGGGGAGGGGAGAGGGGATGGAGATGAGATACAGGGAGAGGGAGGAGGGGGGGAGGGGAGAGGGGATGGAGATGAGATACAGGGAGAGGGAGGAGGGGGGGAGGGGAGAGGGGATGGAGATGAGAGACAGGGAGAGGGAGGAGGGGGGGAGGGGAGAGGGGATGGAGATGAGAGACAGGGAGAGGGAGGAGGGGGGGAGGGGAGAGGGGATGGAGATGAGAGACAGGGAGAGGGACGAGGGGGGGAGGGGAGAGGGGATGGAGATGAGAGACAGGGAGAGGGAGGAGGGGGGGAGGGGAGAGGGGATGGAGATGAGAGACAGGGAGAGGGACGAGGGGGGGAGGGGAGAGGGGATGGAGATGAGAGACAGGGAGAGGGAGGAGGGGGGGAGGGGAGAGGGGATGGAGATGAGAGACAGGGAGAGGGAGGAGGGGGGGAGGGGAGAGGGGATGGAGATGAGAGACAGGGAGAGGGACGAGGGGGGGAGGGGAGAGGGGATGGAGATGAGAGACAGGGAGAGGGAGGGCGCAGGGATAAGGAGGCATGAAGGTTGAATGGAGCCTTTCAAGCAAGCAGGTGGGTGGTTCAGATGATCAGATGATGGCCTGTGCAAGGGTGGCAGCAGGAGGTGTGTGGTGAAGTGCGTGGGGGGGATGAGGAGGCAGTGTGAGCGGGAGCGCTTGGATGATGACTTCCAGTGGACGGAACGCCTTATTCACTCGATACTCGTTCCGTGGAAGATCGGAGAGGGGCGAGGGAAGCGAAAGACGGAGGGGGGAGAGGGGAGGGGGGAGTGGGGAGAGGGGCGAGGGGCGAGGGGCGAGGGGAGAGGGGAGATGGGAGAGGGGAGAGGGGAGAGGGGAGAGGGTGCGAGAGGTGCGTTTACAGCCACTAAGGCAGCAGATGTAAGGCAGCAGCACTAAGTATGGTATCTTATCACATCCACGTGGAGGGATAGTGCTGTCTGGTTTCAGTTCGTTCGCTTCTGCACTGGCTGCCGCACAGCGCGCTGCTCTCTTCATTCCGAGTTCCATGTTCTTGCGCCTGTGCGCAAACGCAAAAAACCGAAAGGAACCAGGACTGGTTTCCTCTTTGAAAGGCGCAGATCTAAAACCCGCGTACACGCGCGCGCCTGATCCGCGCGATCGCGACTCGATTGGATTCTGATCCGCGCACCGCTTATCGCGGCCCTGCCGCGCATCCCGCGTGCGAGCACGCAGGGGAGGCGCGGGGCGCGGGCGACGTTCAGGGCGCGCGGGCACTCGCGTAGCGGGAAGAGGACGGACGAGGGGAGGCGGGGGGCGGCAAGGGGAGAAGGAGGGTGCGCGGGAGGAAAGGCGGAACGCGTGGCAGCAAATAAAGGGGCGTAGCGGGTGGCGTACCTGCGAAGGGCGAGAGCGCGTTCTGTTTGTTTGTAAACATGGTGGATGGCGTTTCGAGACGTCGCAAATAAAGCCTAGTACGTACCTGCGAAAGGAGAGAGCGTGTTCTGCTTGTTGTAGATATGATGGATCGCGTGCAGGTGCGTGTACAGCGGCTTGATATCGTGCAGCAGGCGGTGCGCCCAGTAGATGCCGAACTCCACGATCAGCATGTACAGCAGCAGCCCCAGGATGTAGCGCGGCGCGGCCGTCTCGCCGATCTGGCTGTAGCAGCGCGTCCAGCCGGTCTCGACGAGGCGCTCCGAGATGGTCGGCAGGAGCGTGTAGAGCGGCATGGCGCGCATCGACACGGCGATCTGCCGCCACATGGCTTTAAGAGACGGGATGTCGTCGGGACCCGAGTAGAGGAACCAGCCGAAGAGGGAGTAAACGACGAGGCTCCATAGCCCCGATCCGACGAGATACAAGAGGCAGCCCGCCACGTAGTTGCGTAGCCAGGTTTGCGGGAAGTGCGGGAGGGCGGAGACGAAGGAGGAAGGGAGGAAGGAGAGCACGAGGCGGTTGTAGAAGCTCGTTTCCTGCACGAATAGGTCTAGGTACGCCGGGCTGCCTGGTTCCAGCGTCTTAGCGTCGGGCGATGCGGGGAAGAGCGACGCGAGTGACCGCGACGCGGTTTTGGCGAGTCGAGTGACCGGATCTAGCGCCGCGAGCAGGGAGGAGGGGATTGGAGTGGAGGAGAATGAGGCGTTGGGTGCGGCGGCGGAAGCGGAAGACGCGGGAGGGGCGGTGGAGGCGGGAGAGTCGCTCGCGGACGAGGCGGAATGGCGGAGATCGTGCGGATCCGAAAGCGCGTGGATTGCGGGGATCGTGATCGCCAGAAGGAGCGACAGAACGAGCACGTTGCGCGCGTAAGCCGGGAAGATGGCCCTGGAAGGGGCCATGGTTGCGGGGGAGCGAGGAAGGCCGAGGAAAAATAGAGGCGGACCGAGCTCAGATCAAGACTCAGAACTAGTCGCCTCTAGTCTGCCTTCAGGCTTGTAAATTGGGATATTCAGCGCCTTGAGCTGAGCTCTTGTGAGAATGACCTCGTGGTTGCAACCTTGGGGAGATCGATGACTTTGCGATGGTCGTCAACTTAGGGCGTGATACACTACCTGGCTGCACTCCGATCTCCAATTCGTGTTCTGGTGCCATGGCAAAAGGTTAGTAGCTTTCAAATTCTGCTGCTGGATTCGCGCGAGACCTTGTCGAAATAATGCAGGGTAAGGATACCATTGGCGAAATACATTGTAGTGGGGCTTCGTCAGTTGAACAACCAGCGATTTTTTTAGTGCTCGCGAAACGCGGAGATCGTCGACCAATGAATAGGCGGCAGCTCGTGACCCGTTCTTGTGTAACACTTTTTCTCTCTTCAGTGCGGTGCATTTCGTGACACGCAGAGACGCCTCGTAACTCGTGTCAAACGATACGCTACAGCAGGAGAGCGGCCTCTGCAACAACAAACCATCTTCCGAGGAGAAAGATCGTAGAGTAGATTTCCCGCCAGTCAATCGAACGGCTCAAAGACGATGCGCGGGCAGGAAGATGTTCGTGGCCGACAGCTCATCATTTATCGAGACCCCCGCGTTGTGCTGCTGACTCGACGACGAGGAGAAGCCCAGCTTCGGATTGCTCGAATCTCGATCCAGCTGGTCGCCAAAGCTAAGCACCCTGAAGGTCTCCTCATGGTTTGGAAGAAAAGCGCGATCTGATTGGTTCACGGAGAGTGGGGCGGGCCAACGAATGAAGGGGCACCAACGACCCGTTACAGTACAACCCCGCAAAGGAGCCAAATGAGAAATCAAGTCATGTGCCAATCCAGTACATAACTTGTTTGTAACGATGATGTTAATAACTATTTATTACAGAATCCTATGCAGGACATGACGGTATTACAGCAAAAGTGATCCTCATGTTTAGAAGAAGAGTAACCATTGGTCATTAAGCAACTCTTTTCTCATCAATCTGGTCCAAAACGTAATACAAATAACCTATGCAGGAGACCATCTCAGCAAAAGAGACCCTCGTGGTTAAATTAGAAGAGTAACCATTGGTTACTAACCAACCATTTTCTCCATCTGCAACACCCCGAACCAAATGTGATTCCATTCTCGTCACTGGATTCGTACGCCAGCCTACAAACTCCAGTCAATTCGAGTTGACACGCACTGCTTGTGGCCCAGCGTCATGTTACAACATGGATCTGCAAAAAACCACACCACATGAGTGGCATTAATGGTCAAAACTTAGGAACTGTGCGAGAGGTGGTAAAAAGGAGGCATGCAGTGGAGAAATGAGATGAGGTAGCACGAGCAGGAGGGAAAAGGGCCAGGGAAGAGGGGGGAAGGGATGGGGCAGAGGACGGAGTGAGGGAGGGAGGCAGGAAGGGATGGATAAGTAGAAATAGAGAACAGCACAACGCACACGCGGAGTTCGTGTCCGTCACTTCCCTCTCATACCTCGAATCGAAGCACCCCTCCCCGCCTGATTTTACCGCCCCATAGAGCGGTTGGGCGGGTCCTTTTGTCTGGGAGTGGGGGCGAACTTCATGCTGCCAGCCATGAGTGAGCCCTCGTCCCGGTTGCCCTCATACGCCACTCTCAGCCGCGGCCGTGCACCCGCCACCGCTGCTGCTGCTGCCCCCCCTGCCCCTCCGCCTGCTGCCGCTGCTGCTGTCCCTGCTGCTGCTGACCCTGCACTTGCCCCATGAAGCCTCTCCGCATGCCCATGCACATTCCCATGCCCATGCACATTCCCATGCCCATGCACATTCCCATGCCCATGCACATTCCCATGCCCATGCACATTCCCATGCCCATGCACATTCCCATGCCCATGCACATTCCCATGCCCATGCACATTCCCATGCCCATGCACATTCCCATGCCCATGCACATTCCCATGCCCATGCCCATGCACATGGGCATGGGCATGTGCCTGGGAGTGATGCCCGTGTGGTTGCTGTTGATGATGCTGGTGGCCTGCCCCGTTCAATCCCGCTGTTCCTCCTAATCCTTCGCTGGAAGCCCCAACACTAATCCCACTGCCCCCACCACCCCCTGCAGCAGCAGCAGCGGCAGCAGCAGCAGCGGCAGCAGCAGCAGCCACTTCAACATCTCGCCCCTCAGCCTCATCCTCTTTTACTCCTTCCATCCCCCTCACACCTCTCCCTCCTGCTGTTCTCCCTTGCTGCTTCCCCCCCTTTCCTCCCCCCCCTCCCCCCCCGCCTCCACCACCCGTTTCACCCCCTTCCTCCCCCACTCTCACCCCACTGCTTCCTCCTCCTCCCCCTTCCCCCTTCCCGCCCCCTCCTCCCGCACTCGCGCCCACGCTCCCCCCCCTATCCGTGAACTTGGCCCCAAAGGGCGGGGCGAAGGCAGGCACACCCGGGGAAGGCGCCACCCCAAAGGACGGGCCTGGGGACTCAGGGATATTCCCACGAGCTGCAGTGGCAGGGAGCATGAGCGGCGTGGGGCCGATAGAGAGCTTAGCAATGGTGGCTGCTGCAGCAGCGGCGGAGGATGGGGAGGAGCGCACGTTAGCGCCAGAAGGGGAGGCAGCAGCAGCGCCAGGAGGGGGTTGGGCGGAGGCGGACGGGGAGCCAAACGCGGCTGGCGCATGGGGGATGGTCGCAGGCGGGGAGGTGGGGCCTGTGGAGGACGGCGCATCGGCGTCGTTACTCCCAATCGCCACCACACTGCTGTTATCACTGGTGGTGGTGCTGCTGCTGATGCTGCTGCTGGGGTCTTCCACCCCAGAAGCCATGGGAAGCTGGGCGAGAAGGAGAAGTGGTGGTGGGAGGAGAGAAGGCCCTGTGATGGAGAGTGGTGGAGGGCGGTGGTGGAGAGCAGGAGGACTGAGGTGAAACCACAAGGGAGCAGCTCGCCTTGATTAGAGCAATACTTAATTAAAGCCCTCTAGTGGCGCTTCCTGTGCGAGGCCCTGCAGGCGCACCAGCGAATCGCAGGACAGGGTAGACCGTACACGCAGTGTGCTAGGGTGAGGAAAGAAAACCCCCTCGTCAAAAGTCCCACTGAGATTCTCAACTCCGCTAGTAGTAGTAACCACCAGTTTCAGCACATCCCCGTTATAAACGCTGTCCCTGCAAAACAGCTTCTCCAAGCGATCACCAGCAGACCCCTGATCCAAACGTTTCAACACGTAGCGCTTCTGATACTGTCGCGGCCTCAAGGCCCCACGACCAACTGGCAGCTGCAGCCCACGAATCCTGGCCGTTGGATGTGGCAGGTGGCAACGATTGACGAGAGCGAGGCAGGCAGGAGCAGGGAATTGCGGGATTGGGGTGCAGTGCAGAGGACGTGAGGTGACGGTTCTGCTGGGGCCGGGGCGTCGCGAGAGGAGGGCACGCGAGAAAGGAAGTGGGAAGGAAGATTGGTGTGGAGGGAAAGGCGTAAGGAGACGCACACCGGTAAGAATGGCGAAGCAGGGAGACTTGTGGGAAGAGGGGGAGTGGGGGAGTGGGGGAGTGGGGGAGGGGAAAGGGGAGGAGGAGGAGCGGAGAGGGGAAGAGAGGGGGGTTTGCGTGTGCAATAAGCTATTGTGGAGACTCCAAGCTCGCTTCATAAGCATACGAGAAGTTCTCTTCACCACGAGTCGCGTCCGCCTTCACGCTTTCCTGAGGGGCAGCAGGCAGCAGGGGGTGAGCAGGGCAGGCGGACGCGCACACGTGGCGCCTACCGAGGCTGACGTACTCAAGATTGTCTTGAGGAGCGTCACATGGGTTTTATGGATGCTTCGTGTGTTGTGCACCATAAGAGAAAATTAGATTCAAGAAAGAAGAAAACAGAGGCCGTTGGAAAGGCACGGGTTTTGCTCGCACGGAGTGTCCTAACAGGAGTATCGGGGTACGAGTTTCAGGAGAAAATAGCCGTGTTAAGCTCCGGCATGGTTACACGAGGGGAAGCCCCAACGTGCTGGAGGGGAAGTCAGCGAGCCGCGTATGACAAAGTGATGGTTACGTTGTGATTACGAGACGGTAGCGCATGGGCGTCGAGAAAACGCTGAATGCTCTTTGTACAGCTGAATCAGCAATGGCGCCTCTCGACTCGAGTGATAGACTCGACTCGACTCGACTCGACTCGACGCTGTGGCAGCAGGGAGACCAATGACATCGATCCGCATGCGCGCGGGGGGGAGAGAGAGAAGTACCGCAGAATCGCAGACTCGCAGAATCGCACAATTTCGAGGTCACGGACTCTCGAATCTCGGGGCATGATCTCGTCACCATCGCGCAGCAGATAAGGTGTTCTGACCGCGAATGTGCTACCGCAATCTAGGCGATGCGAAGCTACCCGTTTCGCAAAATGAGAAACGCGATTCTCTTACCGCCATCACGCTCACTAACATCTCCTCTATCCCGGACAAATTTCCACGCAACGTTAATAACAAAAAAAGGAGAAAGATCCAGCGAAGCTATGTTTAGAACCACACATAGTCCGTTCAAGTAGATGCACGAGCCGCGTCAGGTGAATGTAGTGAATGCAGTAGCAAGGGAGCATTCACCTTATGACTTGGTTCTTCCTCCAACGCGGTGCTAATGAGTATAGATTGACAGGAAACAGATAATATAAAATCACGGCAGCTGAGGGGAAAGGGTACGCTTAGGTCATACCTCGGAACGTAAGGTGGATTGAACGGCTGCGATCTGCCCTTTTTGAAGAGAACCCTAATCTGTCTGGTCCGCGCTAGAGCCTGCAAGCTCGTCGCCTCGCGTTCCTCACGGGATAACCCGATAAGCGCCGCGCGTGCGGCGCTCCTTTCTCAAAACGAGAAGAATAAACAACACAAGGGACAGATCCCGACGCTTAGGAACTCGACTAGAAGTCACGGGGGAAGAGACTGGACTGTGTACACCTGGGAAACCAGTGCGTAATGGAATGGAACCTAAGTCCTCCTTGCCCTCAGCTTGTTGGCTTGTGGAAGAAAGAAGGCCAGCGGTGGTGCAGTGGTAATGTGCGTTGTGCGACAAGGGCACTGGAGTCTGGACTGAAACGCAAGTGAACAGTGAGGGCACACTGCAGTGAGGTGACCGATTACGCGTAGCTGCTGCTGTGATGTGTGGGACTGGGGAGGGGAGGGGTAGGGAAGGGAGGTGGTGGGGGAAGCGGAGGCAGGACCATGGGGACGAAGTACAGAGAGTTGGTTTGCGAAGTACAGAGAGTTGCGAAACACTTGTTTCTGGGTGTTACCACCGCTCCATAATTTCGTTTCGTTGGTTTGATAGATTGTCTAGTTTCACAATTCCATACAATGTGCATGTAGCTACACAAACAAGCCTCTTCATACAGAGAAAGAAAGAAGAAAATAACATCAGACGAACACTAGGGCCCTGGTGGGCCAATCTAGAACTAACATCAGGGTTGGCTCCAGCCCACATGTGCTCCATGTGGGCAGAACAACCAACCCGAACCTACATATCTATGCTCCCGCCCGGCCTCTAAAATCTTACACACCTCAATCAATCCCACACTGAAAAGTTCCACCAACCAATCTCATCTCACCATCCCAAGTTGGGATGGGATTCCCAAAATGACCTACTCCAGAGAGTCCAGTCCAGTCCTTGAGCAGCGTCAAGGACTCCCAAATGCCTGTTAACCTGTCCGATTGACCCAGTCGAACGAAACGGCAATGTCACATTCCATTAGTCGAGGCCAAAGGAGATCTCGACCATGCCATCTCCCGCATCGCACATGGGCCCACTCCACTCAAAGAGGTCGCTCGCTGCAGCAGCAGCAGCAGCCACAGCACGTGCACCATCCCTGCACCCCTCCGACCTGCCACTCTGCTTTGGCACAGCAGCAGTAACAGCAGCAGCAACAGCACCAGTGGCCACTCTGCATGTGCCAGCACCGTAACTGCGATCTCTGGACCACGACAAAGCACGACCAATGCCACTGCCACCGCCACTGCCCCCGCCACTGCCGCTGCCATTGCCGTAGCCGCTGCCACTTCTACTGGAAGAGGAAGACTTTTTGGACTTGTACGAGCTGCTGCTGTGCTGCTTCTTGTGCTTGCGGCTCTTGCTCCTCCTCCTCCCCACCTCACTGCTTCCCTCCGCCTTCCTGCTCCTCTCAAACCTGCTGCGATACCCACTGCCATGGCCCTCCCCCTCTCTCGCCCTGCTCTGCCTCTCCGGCTGCCCAGTAAACTCAGCAACCCTCACACCACCACCACTACCACCAGCACCACCAGCAGTAGTACCAGCACCAGAACCACCACCAGAACCAGCAGCAGCAGCACCAGCAGCGCCAGCAGCATCAGCAGCGGCCTCAAGAGCGCAAGGGTCGTGCAGCAGCAGCACGCTGTCAATCTCAGCCATGAAGTTGAACGACATGCCCTCACAGTCCAACCCCTCCAGCAACTCCAACTCCCCGCCCATTAAGTCCTCCTCCTCCTCCTCCTCCTCCCCGCCATCCCTCCCCCCACCTACCTCCACACCAATCCCCAGCGACGCACCAGCAGCAGCAGAAGCATCCGCGTGATGCTTTTCTTGGGATTCCTCCCCCTCCTCGTCAACATCATCCAGTGCCATGGCCTCGTGCTCAAACTCCAGTGTCAAGTCGAAATCCACATCATCGAGCACAAACCCCCTCTCCAACTCATCGCCCAGACGCTCCATCTCCACCCCCTCTCCCCCTCCTTCTCCCCCTTCCTCTCCCCCTTCCTCCCCCCCCTCCTCTCCCACATACCCCTTCCTGTCCGCCTGCTCCTCGTCCTCCCTGCTCGACTCGTCCAGGTCATTGAGATCATGGAGTTGGGCCATGCCATCGATGTGCGCCAAGTCCATGGGCAGGTCGAATGCGTCCAGGCACAGGTCCCCGTGCAGCAGCAGCAAGCCCTCGTCGCTGTCGTCGTCGCCGCCGCCACCGCTACCGAAGAGCGCACAGGAGATGTCGTCTAGGTCCTGCACACACGCAGACGCCACACCCACACCCACACCACCACCCACACCACCACCACCACCACCGGCACCAGCAGCTGCAACGGTAGCAGCAGGAGCGGTGTCAGCAGCAAGAGCAGTGGGGAGCAGCAGCAAGGCATCATCAGACACGCCCGACGCTGCCACGCTCTCAAACGACCCACACCCAAGCCGCTCCACCTCCTCCTCACCGCTTGCCCCACCCGCGCCTCCCTCTGCCTCTCCCTCCGTCTCTCCTGCTGCCTCTGCGCACGGCCCAGCAACGCCACCTGCAGTGGCTGCTTCTGCTGCAGCCACCAGCGCCATAGGTGGCTTCTGCTCTCGAGGCAGCACCTCAGCACCTGCTTCTGCCACTTCCGCTGCTGCTGCTGACGCTCCTGCCGCTGCCGGCGTTGCTCCTGCTGCTCCTTCCGCTGGTGCTGCTACTGGACGTGCAGGGATGCTGTCTCCAGCCACCCATCTGCGAGTGGGCGCTGCTGCAGACTCACGCCCGCCTGCCCCCACACGCTTTGCCACGGACGCTTCTCCACACCTGCGCTTGAAGGGTCTGCATCTGGCGCACGAGGCATCATCAGAGCGAGTGGCAGTGAACGCTTCTAATCCTGCAATGTCTGCTGTTGCCGTTCTGCCTGTGGTGGAGCGTGGCGTGCGGGCAGCAGCACTGGTGGTGACAGGCCACGTGACAGGAACACCAGCCAGCGCCGCGTTTCCAGCTGAGACACCAGCACCAGCAGCAGCAGCAACAGCAGCAGCAGCAGCAGCAGGTGTAGGAGGAGACGAAATAAGAGAAGTGGGAGCAGCGGTAGCAGCAGGGGGAGCAGGTGCGAAAGAAGGAGCAGTTCCACCGCTGCAGACACCACTGCTGCTGCTGCTGTTGCCGCCCCCGCCACTCCCCCCCGCACCACCACTACCGGCACCACCACCACCACCACCACCAACGCCACCGCCACCACCACCACTCCCGCCACTCCCATCCTCTCCCACACCCCCGCCCTCTTCCCCAAGCGGAGCGAAATTGGTCTTGGCACGAGGGCCGCGGATGGCACGCGCAGCAGCGTCGTACGCGCGGGCAGCGGCGTCAGCAGAGTCGTACGTGCCCAGCCACACCCGCACCCCGCGCGTGTGATCGCGGATCTCCGCCGCCCACTTGCCCCACGGCCGCTGCCGCACCCCGCGGTAACCGCACGTTGTAACCGTTGTTGCTGCTGTTGTCGTTGCTGCCGCGAGCGTGCCTGCCTCCGCTCCTGCCGCTGCCCCTGCCCCTCCTGCTGCTGCTCCTGATCCTGCTCCTCCTGCTGCTGCTGCTTCAGCACGTGGTGAGACCGCATGCATAACTGCAGATGGTGGTGATGCTGACGATTGCACCCGTGCCCCTGCTACTGCAGTTGCTGCTGCTGTGGGCGGGTGCAAGAGAGCTTCTCCTGCTGGGGTTTTTCCTCCAACTCCAGCTGATTCACACATCATGCCTGCCGCAGCCATTGCGACTCCTGTCACGAGCCCTGACGCACTCGAAACAGCAGCAGCAGCAGCAGCAGCAGGGGGGAACGAGCGAGGATACGGCTCCTTGTTGCTTGTCCACTGCATCGCGCTCAAGCGCTCCTCTTTGTGCTTGCACCCTGCTGCACCTGCTGCTGCTGCTGCCGCGCCTGCTGCCAGTCCATCCGGCAGTGCCATCGCATGATTATCCCCTCCTTCCCTTCCCATCACTTCCTCCTTCCTCCCCTGCTGCTCCTCTCCACGCCACTCCATGCCCCACGCTTCCCCCCCTCGCGCCACTGCCTGCTGCGGCGCCATCACCACTGCGCCGCGCTGCTGCAGCGGCGGCGACTGCTGCTGCTGCGCGCCCAACTGCTGCGCGCTGAGCTGCTGCGCGAACCTCCCATGTGCCAGCCCGCTCATCGGCGCGCCCACGGCACCGTCCAAAGCACCGCCCTCCGCATGCAAGTTACCGCACGAGCGGCTGCCGTTCACAGGGTAGCAGCACGCGGGCAGTGGCGGCGGAAGCGGCGGAGGCGCGGGAGGCGGAAGGGGCATCGGCGCGCCCGCGCCCCCTTGCCAGCGCCTGCACGCCCAGTCGTAGCACCCCGCCACTCCGCACGGCGGCGGCGCGGACGCGGCGGAAAAAGGAGGGTAGGAATAGTAAGGGAAGGCGGCAGGCAGATCCCCGCCCATGTGCGGAGCGGAGTGCGCATATAGCTCGCGGGGCGGGCAGCGCGCGGAGGTCGCGGAGGCAGAGGCGCAGCACGCCGGCGCAGCGAATAGCGCACCGTCGCGCGATGCGGACACAGCAGGAGGAGGCGCGCGGGAGCGCGAGGCGGGAGTGACTGGCGCAACGGGCGGAAAAGGCTGCATGTGCATTGGCGGCACATGCGCCGACGGAGGCGGTGCGCGCGCGGGCGCAAGGTGTCCTTCGCGAGAGGAGAATTGAGACGCGAATCGTTCGTCGCCCGGACGCCATGCGCGGTAGGGAAAGTAGTACACAGCGCCAGAACCCCCGCCCATTCCGCCCGTTCCGCCCATTGCGCCCGTTCCGCCCGTTGCGCCTATTGCGGACATGGCGCCGATCGCGCCCATTGCGCCCATGGGTAGTGGCGCAGAAGCATACGATACATAAGCGCCCGTGCTGTGCCCAGTCGCCGCCCCTGCTGCCTCCGCTGCCGCGCCCGAAGCAGACCACCAATTCGCCCGCGATCGCCTCGGGTACGATCCCGCCGCCGCCGCTGCCGCCGCCGGCGCCGCCTTTCCAAATTGAGAATAACCGTTAGCATCGACGCTGATGCCGCTGCGGGCGGCGGCGCCGGCAGCAGCGGCGCCGCGGGTACTGGGAAACGGAGCGGAGAGGAAGCGATAGGTCCACGTGTTCGAATCCGCGTTATAGTCGAACTCCTGCTCGTCGTCCGACGAGTCCGTCCCGTCGGGGTCCGTATTCACGACGAGCGCGCGGCCCCCGCGCACGCTCACGCGCGGCACTCCCCCAACCCCCGCCGCCGGCGGCGCCAGCTGCCGCGGCTCCCCCCGTCCGCGCTTATTGCCGTTAGATAGGCTTGCTCTGCTGCTGACGATACTCGAGTCCTGCGGCGAAGGATGATCCGACGCAGACTGATCGTGTCGCCGACCGTGCGACTGCTGCTGCGACTGATTGTGCGACTGGTGTTGCGACTGATGGTCAGTGGGGTGGGTGACAAAGGCGCCTTGAACGGTCGCGCCGCCACCCAGCTTCGCCTTGTGCTCCGATTCGTTCGCATCGCCTGAACCGTCCGAATCGGCCATATCGTTCCCAAACTGCTGCTGGGCCTGCTCCTTGTGCTCCCTCTGCTCTTGCTGCTGCTCTTGCAGCGAGTCACTGTCGCTCAACTCGCGTCTGGGCGCGTTAACCCGATCGCGTCGAAGCCCTGCTGCTGCAGATCCGTCGCAATTGACCGATCGTTGCTGTCCCTTCTCCGCCTCCTGCTCGTCTTGCCGCCGCCTAAACTGTTGCTGCTGCCGATCCTGCTGCTGCTGATCCTGCTGCTGCCGACCCTGCTGCTGCCGATCCTGCTGCTGCTGATCCTGATGACCATCCGGTTCGCGCCGATCCTGCTCCTGCCGAACCGGCTGCTGCGGATCCTGCTGCCGACGCTCCCCGTGTTGCTGCTGCCGTTGCAGGCAACAACTCGGAAGATCGTCGACGTCCTGATTGTTAACCTTACGCGCATGCATTGCCACCGGCAATTGCGGCGACTCAGCCTCCTGGGCAGTAGCTCGCAGCGCATGTGCTTCGTGCCTGTCCGTCTCACCCGTTTCAACCATATTTACGTTACCGTCAACAGTACCATCACCGCCCCCACTCCGCGTTACACTTGCCGGATCCGCTTGGCGCGTGCCGTCTGCCGCCGAGTCGCACGTGCAGGGCTCCGATTGGTTGCCGATCAGGCACTTTCGGTCGCCGTCTGCGAGATCTACACCGTCCGATGCTGCATTCTGTCGAAAGAACGAGCTCGCGACGGCTGAACTCGGGAGCTGACTTGGAACCAAAGAAGACGAAATCGGCGACATGCTGAGAGCCACACTATCGCCAGAACGAGCGGTAGCAGCAGCAGCAGCGGGAGAGAAAACAGGAGCAGACGAGAAGGATGATCGAGGCGAGGAGTAAGTAAGGGAGCTTCGCGGCGACTTTAACGGCTTATTCTCGACCGGAATTGGCAGCTGTTTCGGACTCGGGTTGACCGGTGCCGCCGCCGCCGCTGCGTCTGTTATTGCGCCTGCGAGGCGCCGAGAAAGGAGGGCCTTGGCTGGATGGCTTGGGGGAACGCCCGCAGAGAAACTCGAGTTAAGATCGGAATGCAAATGCGCCGAAAGATCGGGCGCTCTTCGTTGCACGAGTTGGGGTCCTGGCATCCTTTATGCTAAGGGAGAACGGATCACTTCCTGCTGCCGCAAGCTTCGCTCGAGCGAACGCGATCCGCAATCGGCGTTTCGAGGCGCGAGGAGCTGCGATCAGCGAGTTAGATACGTCGTCTAAGGGCCTCCGAATGAAGGCCCTGAGGAATCGGAGGGGAAAAAAAAGGAGGAAACCCCTCCGGTGAATAAAGAGGAGTGGCGAATGCCACTAGAGATAAGCAGCTCTAATCCCAGCCACTCCAGGAATTACCATGACGGCAAAATCCGTGGCTGCGTAGCTGGGACGAGAGCCGGAAAGGACGCCACTGGGTTATGCAGTGAGTTTATGAACCCCAGAGGGCAGTTGGGTTGCTTGCAGCATGGGGCACCTCGAGCCTCGACTCTCCACTCGATGAGAAGGAGCGTGGGGAAAGTGGCGGAGACGCAGGACGAGAACAAGAAAGAGGCGACAGAGAGGGAGAATTGCGTGGGACTTGGCTGCTCCTGTTTCTTCTCTCACGCCCCCACCTCACTAAGCGCTACTTTCCGCTTGTTTGCATGCACTGTACAACACTGTATTTTCTGTAGGTCCTCCAGTTGCCCAACGCAACGCGCCGAACCAGGACAATGCCATTGGCTCATATCGATCACTTTGTCCCCACACCACACCTGCCCCACATTGCGGCGGCATGGTATGGGGCGGCTGCGCTGCTCTGCTGCAGGATTTGTTTCCAGGCTGCCCTAGACGCTGGAAAAAGGAAGGAGAAGGAATGCCGAACCTCGAATACTATGGCCCATGCCACGCTGGCACACTAGGTTTGGGGAGGGGCTATATGGTCCAACAAATAGTTCTACTACAAGTACTACGTTTCGGAAAAAAAAAAACCAAACATGTGACTGGCAGTTTCTGCACTGTACAGAAGAAATAACAAAGCATCAAACAGAATAACCCAGTGCTGCCCCGTATGTCACCCGACAAGCATCGGACAACTTCAAAAGTTTTAGATTGGGACAGCGTGTCAGGTAAAGTATCCTGCCAAGTTTGCCAGTGCCAGCTTCTAGGAGGACTGGTAAAAGCCAACTGGACACGTGGACTTTAAAGGGAGGAGGCTCGGTACAAAGCTGGCTCTCTGGTACATCAAATCTCACCATACCAAAAAGAAGCGGTTAGGAAATGATGCGAGCCCAGGCTTCAGGGCCAAAAAGTTGCGTCTGACAAATGTTTGCATGACACGTGGATAGTTAAGAGAATATCAAGTGCCGAATTTGGCACAGCTGACGAGTATACCCTACTGGAGTGCACGAAGCTCGCAAATGTTGGGGGTTTTACGTTGGGGAAAGATCAAATTCAGGACGAATACCAGCAGGGGGATGAGCGAACAAGGGCCGACAAACCGAACCTGGGCTGTTGGAGGGAATGACCGAGGGGTTTCGTTGGGGGAATTCATATGAGCGGTCACAATCAAGCCCAGTTTGTTATGAGTTGTAAAACAGAGTTGCACTTAAAACGAATACAATGAATACAATACAATGAACTTACAATACAATGAAGGCACGTGATATTCTAGTGGCTACCCTGGCTAGGCGGGAACCTCGGTAATACGAGGTTGGGTGCAGGTTTAGCGAAGGAAAAACCGAAGGCGACGCGAGGCAGCCTCGGAATCGTGGATGTCGGCCGAACGTGCGAAGTCCGAAAGTGTTAGGTTTCGTTACGATATGAAACTTTATGAGAAGGCATTCCTGTATGCTGCAGGAGCCGACTCTACCGAGTACGAAGTCGAGGAGTCATAAGAGTCGAAGCGACGCTGGTAACCGTCTGACCAAGACCGATGCATGCAGAAACATTTGAACTGAAAAGAGCGGGAACATGTTTGAAACGGGTTCCCGCTGCGGAGATTAACTCTACAACGGTGGGAGCTAGACTATGGGGTAGGCACGAGTTGTCAGAGTGATCGTAGCTCTGTCTGTGTTCTCTAGGACTTGTGTTTTCACAGGGCAAAACAGCAAGAGTTTCACTAAGGAATGTTGAGAATACAGAGTTCAGAATGAGAACAAGCAATGGCAAGAATTGACTACATCACATGCAAGGTTTGCTAGTGCTCAGGCAGGTCGATCGCCAGCACGACAAAGTCGTCGACCTGCCAACGTAGCAAGTCTGCGGCTCGCCAACGCAGCTTGTGTGCGACTTGCCAACGCTGCAGAATGGCGGCCTGCCAACGCTGCACCCGCGCGGCTTGCCAACGCAGCATCCGCGCGGCTTGCCAACAATGCATCCGCAGGTGATTGTAAGCGCATGTGCAAGCACCTACTTCGCAGGTGCAAGTAGACAGTTATGCACGACGTGCACTGTCGAGCACATTGCGCAGGTTGTCAGCCACATGCTGACGGTTGCACCTGATGAGCCACGTCGACCACGTGCTGCCACGTCGGTCGACTTCGCCACATCAACCTTGACGACGTTCGTGACCCTCCGCAGAACCTCGTCGAGCAGGTAACTCGGTCAACCAGATAAAGTCCCTGGCAACCCTGTAGGAAGATGACCTTCGTCATTATCGGTTGACGACCTTTGTCGTCGCGGGTCGACGACCTTCGTTGTCGCGGTTCGACGACCTTCGTCGAACACCTTCGTTGAACACCTCGGTCGACATTTCAAAATGTCAGCTCCTCATTGGTCGAAATTAGGGCACATTCGAATTTCTGGCCAAAATTCGCCTGTGCAGTCTCAAGGGTGCGCAGGGTCAGACGCGACCCTGCGCAGACGAACGCCCGCGAACCTCTGCACGAGCTGCACCACTTGTACATGTGCACGAGACACCTGTGTTGCACTCGCGGATGCTTCAGTTACTCTTGCATGGATTCCCTAGTACACCTCGTGTACAAGCAACCCCTGTACACCTGGAGAAGGTCGGCTGCACCTCCCGCACACCCGACCACGAAGTCAGATTTGCCCATGCGAGGGCGGGGCCAACTTCCTTCAACACTCCCCTGCCGCGCTCACGCTTGGGCACCCTTCGCACAAGGTCCACCCAGAACCCAGGGGATAGTATACATGGGGAAAATCCTACAGCGTGCACACAACACACAGCACGCCGGTCACCGCACCAGCCGTGCAGAAGGGCACGGCACCTACTGCTGCACATCATCGTCACCGTCGCCAACGTCAGCCAGACGAACTTGGCCGATCGCGACGGAGCACCGGTTGAAGGCCGGAAAGTGCAGCCCCTTCGTCAGGAAGTCTGCCGGCTGCTCAGAGGTGGGAATGTAATTCAGCGCAATCTTCCCACGCTTCACCATCTGCTGCAGCCAGGCATAGCGTCGCTCCATGTGCTTGAGGTTGCCCTTCAGCCCCAAGCCTTCCGCGACAGTGATGGCCGACTGGTTGTCCACACGAAGGACGGTCGGCGTCCCAGGGTCCAACATCTTGAACTCTGCAAGGAGGAACCGGAGTCGACGAGCCTCCTTGCCAGCTTCCGTGGCCGCGACGTACTCCGACTCGGTCGAGGAGAGCGTCGCACACTTGATGCGCTGGCTTGACCAGGATATTGCGGCCCCTCCGAGGACGAACACGTAGCCTCCCGTGCTCGTCCGGTTCTGCTTGTCGCCTGCGTCGTCAGCGTCAACGTAGCCGACCAGGCACAGCGACTCTGGTCCACCGCCGAACTCCAGGGCGGTGTCCCGGGTGTCGGCGAGGTAGTGCAGACAACGGTCGACCTCGCGCAAGTGGTTGTCGCTCCGCACCGTCAGGCCGCTTCCCAGCTTGCTGCACGCAAAGGCGATGTCCGGCCTTGTCGTCGTCGCCGCGAACTGCAGCGAGCCGACCTTCTGCCTGTACTCCTCCTCCTCGCGCGCCTGAGCATCCTCGTCATCGAATGTCAGCTCTGCATAGGCGTCGACGGAGACTGGCGTCTTCG